CTTCTTGAGCCTCGCCGACAATCCTTGTGGTTCTTGTGTATTGGCCTTGCTCGCATCGGACTTTGAGTCTCGTAACCGTGAGGTCTTGTGGAACGATCGCTTATTCGTTCGCAAAGGGGATTGGTAGGATTTATTGGCAGGGTTTGTGATTCTCGGTCTGTAGTTGATATTTCGGGCAACTCTCGAGACCGGGAATTCCAGAGTCGGCTGTGTTATCGAAGCGAAAGCCCGTCGTAGGGGTTGCGCTTCTAAGCCGAGCGCATTCCGTAGACCGACGGTATTTCCGTGTGGCTGCAGAACAGGGCGAAGATTGCGAAGGTAGGCCCGTATCATCGTGTTTCCCCTTTTCCTCCCAAATAGTCGGTTCGTGGTTCGCAGTCGAATGGTCGGCGCACTCGGAAGAAGCTAGGGGTTTATCGGTAAAGGTGTCAGATACTTTTGAGCGTCAGCGCATTTACAGCCGTAGAATTATCGCGTGACCGCCAAAAGCAGAAAAAAGCTTAGGGTACAAGCTAGTCCACGAAGTTTGCAAGTGCCCAAAAAGAAAATGATACACTCTGACAAAGTGTCGTAAATCGCACAAATAGGTGTAGTTACTGCAGATTAGAATGAGAACGGTGACGCGACAATGAGGTCGCTGATGATATTAGCTGAGAATTCTGCGCCAAAATTTGGAAAGCTGCCAGCTTAGCACCGGCCTGCACGGTGATGCAACCGAGGGCGGGACGGCGTTTGCAGGGTCCGACGGGCTGCGGGATCACTCGCAGCCGCCAAAGGACCTGTGAGCTTTGCTAACGCCGAGCTCCCAATGCCCTTAAATCCGCACCTCTTCCCAGGTAACCGGTGTCACGATATTAAATAGCTAAGGAGTCATAAAGATTTGATTCATAAATATGATTTGAGTTATTCTTAAGATAATTATTTATGCAAAGGATGTTTTACGTGCTAGGTAGTCAGAATTCCTTGTAGAAAAATATTCATGTAATTTTTATTCATACTTTCCCGACTCTTAATACCACTTTGTATTCTGCTTCAGCGTTGCTTATAGATTTAGACCCCATGACCTTGGAATTCTTGTAATCCTCACTTGCATTTCTCAAAGCTTTCTACTAGTATTATATGAGTAGGCCTGGAGCTAGACACAACGGTTCTACTTACTCAACAAGCCTAACTTATATGTGAAGGTTCAGTCGATATCTCTCAAGATACTCTATACTCTACCCCTCTGGCCATTTAAAGAAGGTCATCTTGACAATTTCCTGAGCGAAAGATTTCGGAACATGTCCAATATGCACCAGTCGAACTAATAACTCTTTTCTTCTCAAAGATGAAGCCGTTGCAGGATTGGCATGGAGGTCTAGACCACAATCTAGCCATGCATGGCGCTCTAAGGTGTCTCCTTGGCATATCTGGCGGCATGAGAAATGCCACAAGTACGAAGTACACATAAGGTCGTTTATGATGGCTTGCATAGGTTCTGCAGTCCAAGGATTTTGCGTGGATGCGGACATAGCACGAGGGACTTTAGGGCATTACATTAACGCCATTTTGGTACTGATGCAGGGAATGGAGAGGTTTCGTTGCGTCGTAAACATTCGAAGGGCCATCTCATGCCAGCAGACCAAGTCTCAGACTTATCTTGCCGGTTTTCACGAGAAGAATAGCCAATTAGCTCCCTCAGGCATTATCAAAACGACATCGAGTTTCGAGATCGGCATCGTTCAAAGTGTGATCGACTTGGGAAACGGTGGCATGCGACAACGAGTTGGATCGGAGGTACCCGGAACTTAGAGAGTGATTTGTTGCTCTTGAGACCCATACACTAAACAAATAGCCTACATCGTTTCATTTGAACCATTGTACGCAAAGATGATGAAGTAGGTAATTATGGAATGCGAACTTGCCTCGCTTTCGATAATTTGCGAAGTAATCATCTATAAGCGAATCCTCCATTTCGTTCTCGCGTTTCTATTTGGATGCTAAATACTACGTAGAAGCCCTCAGCTCCTTATAACTACTCGGTCCGAACAGTCCGAATGTCAGGCACTTGTGATCCTTATCAGTCGGGACTCAGCCCACCTCGAATGGTTATTTCACATTTTACCCCTCATACAAGGGTAGACTAAATACCCCTCCATGTTGCTTCCGAGAGCTCCTAAGCCTGTAGCTCCTTATGTAAGTAGCTAAGCGTGAACATCGCAAATGTTACACTACACTGGTAGTGCTGACTACCTATTCGAGAGACCCTGAAGATCTTCAGAATTAGGAAGTAAGGGAAACAGAGTTGTACTATTAGAACCCATTTGAAGGTCTTCCAGCGGTATGGATCGGCAGCTACCTACCTATCCCGGTGAGGTGACATCGCATGTCATGAAGATAGGACCAGTAAGCTACACCGCGCACTATTAGTGATTAGAGCTGCCGCATCTTCAATGCGGCATTCAAACCCTTGCCGGCATCGTGTCAGCTTACAGTACTAGTAAAATGCGTGTCCCTCATGTTCAAATCGTAGATTTCCCCTCGACTTTCCCAGGCCCTTTTTCTTTTGTTTCCGTAACGAATCTTTTGAATTAAAATCAATCATCATCATTTAGACATCTCGCTAGAAAAAATGAGTGAATCGTATGACTACATCGTCGTTGGTGGCGGCACATCCGGGCTTGTGGTGGGAACCCGCCTGACCGAGGATCCTGATGTTCGCGTTCTAGTTATTGAAGCTGGAGCCGACAAGAGGAAAGACCCCTCTCTAGAGACCCCGGGTCTTGTCGCCGGCGCCTACGCTGACGATCGCTTCATCTGGCCATTCCGGTCAACGGCGCAAGTACGAAAACCTCTAATACCGATAGCCACTATGCTACTAGTTATGCAACTGGAATTACTGACATGTTTATTACGATTAGACCGAGTTGAATGGCCGCCACCTTCGGCAGGATACCGGCAAGGTCCTGGGCGGCAGTTCATTGACCAACTTTATGATGGCCATGTTTCCCTCTCGGACGAACCTAGACACATGGGGCAAGATGGGTAATAAAGGGTGGACTTTCGACGACCTCGCTCCTTACTTCCAGAAGTTTTCCACATCGCATCCCCCGAGCAAAGCAATCCGAGAGACTCTAGGAGGTCTAGACTACTATCAGGAAGACCTGACGGGCAACGGCCCTGTTCAACTCTCCTTCGACGACCAATATTCAGTTATGAACGAAAGATGGTTCAAGACCTTCGCCGAGCTAGGACTAGAGATGAAGACAGATCCCAGGACCGGCAGGGCTATCGGCGCGTTCCAGAACTCATCAACCATCGAAAGCGGGAACAATACTCGCAGTTCCTCAGTCACCGCATACTACACGGAAGAGGTCGCTAAACGACCAAACTTCAAGGTATTGACGGAAACAACGGTGCAGAAGATCACCACAGAAACCCGAGATGGCCTAGTCATTGCAACGGGTGTAGAAGTGAAGGACAAGGACGGCAAAGTCACGACTCTCAAAGCCAGCAAGGAAGTGATCCTAGCGGCAGGAACGATCAGAACACCGCAACTACTAGAATTATCCGGCATTGGCGACCGCGATCTGCTCGAAAGCCTCGGAATCGATGTGTTGATCGACAACCCCAACGTCGGCGAACATATGCAGGATCATCTCATGACTTCACAGCAGTTCCCGGTAAAGAAGGGATACCCGTCCGCGGATGGACTACGTGATCCCGAGAAGTTCAAGAGCGCCTTTGAGCAGTACGCATCGACGAAGCAGGGCCCGCTCTCTGGCATGGGAACCAGCGTCGCCTACGTGCCACTAGCAGACCGCAACGGCGTTATGACCCAGGCCGACCGCAAGGCCCTCTTCGACAAATATCTTACCAGCGTCCCTACGCTGAGCCCAGTGCAGAAGCGCGAATACAAGCTGATACGCGAGCTCCTCGAATCCGAGATGGAGCCCGCCATCCAATACCTGTGCTTCCCGGGTTCCCTTACCGTGACTCCCCATCCGGACACGCTGACCGACATGTTCACGTCTCATGCGCCGTACGATTGCATCGGCATCCTCTCCCTTTTCAACCATCCCTTCTCGCGAGGAAACGTACACATCTCCTCCAAAGACGTGTCGGTGCCGCCGACCTGGAACCCCAATTACTGCACGCATCCGCTAGATCTCGAGATCATGGCGCGCACGGTCGGCTTCGTCGAGAAGATCGTCAACACTCCCCCTTACAAGGACCTGATCGACCCAGAGCTCAAGCGCTTACCCGACGCGACCGGCGACGACCTGGAGGTAGCGAAGGAGATTGTGCGCGGACGATCCGTGTCCTGCTTCCACATCGCTGGTACCTGCCGCATGCTGCCGAGGGAGCTGGGCGGTGTCGTCGACGAGCGCCTCATCGTGCACGGAACCTCTAACATTCGCATTATCGATGCTAGTATGATTCCCCTGGAACCGCTCGGTAATATTCAGACGACGGTGTACGCCGTTGCCGAGAGGGCTGCGGACTTCATCAAGGAAAGTAGAAAGGCGGGAAAAACCACCCTTCCTATACGCTAGACAAGAGAAAGGATATAAGAAGAAATAGAAAGACGAATAGATGCGATAAATAATTGAATACCTACCTAGTAACGGAAATTTTATGACAGTTCCGACCTGTCTGCTTGCGTCATCGTTTCCTGTGCTCAAACAATTCTTGCTCTGAGGCTCATAATATTCCTGTGACCACGACTTCGCCGCAATCGACACGCTCGATGCGAAAATTAGCGAACGAATTTATTACTTGCCAATAAACCCCCCCTAGTGTTTACACAAGCCTTTTTGCTATGTTTAGATGTCGGTATACCGCAATTGAATCATGTGCTGCCAATTCATGCGGGATTTCCGATAAAACGGCCACCCACCCCCTAGACCAAAAATTTGCCCACAGGGCCGCAGGACCACCTATCCCAACTAGAAACGTAAATAAATACCCTAGAAGGCAATTGGGTGTTCGGGCAGGGGTATAGGCCAAAAAATTCAAGTTTCCGAGAACGAGGTTCGAACTCGCGCGACTTTCGTCAGCAGAAATCCCAAGTATACACACAGCTGTGCGTTTTATCTTAAGTCTGCCGCCTTAACCACTCGGCCATCTCGGATATACGTTTTCTAGCTGCCTAGTGATGATTGGTGTCAAGTGCTCCTTTAGGGCTCTTATATAACCCAAACAAGCAAACTTTAGCTACCACCTATTAGAAACGCTACAAGAGTGGGTCACTAGGGTCCGTAGAACCCACAGTAGCTCTGTCCATAGACTGAAAGAGAGAAAAAAAAAGTCTGGTATATTAAAATCATCAATGACTTTCTTATGTTGTTAATCTAAGTTGCTTATCTAAATTCCAATGTTCTCTTCAGCAAATAGCTATTACGAGAAATGACATGAAGTAAATACGGACTGAGTCGGCGGGACCTAAGGGCTTTGAAGCACCTACAAGTATAGGGGACTAAAAGCTTATTAGACAGGAATATTTCGAGGCAATTAATACCGATGTGTATCTTACAGCCTTGATCAGTAGTCTTTATGTTCCCTTCCTTGTCCTTATAGCCAGAATTGTGGGACAATCCTATAAATTTCGATTCGAAATGTGTACTGAACTTTCAATAGAGATAAGTTAACGAGAGCAGCTGCAAACATGGAGTTTTCCCGTTCTCTACTTGTGTTCTATGGCGGATGGCCATGTTGGATTGGTCTATCCGTGGCCATACAGTAGCCCGTGCTCAGATATGATGATGTTCCATCATGTAGTTAATCATCCTAAAAATACCCAACTTGTCTCTTTCGCGGCTTCTTTACCAATGCACCTTCAGCTAGAAGCACAGGACTGATAGGAGAATTATTTAAATAGCCAACGGCACAATCTCGTGCCGCATTACGTCGATAAGGAGCGCAAGGTGCAAGAAAAGACAATAGTAGAGTCCCCATGGAGCAGTCAAGAGGATGATATCATATTAGAGTGACCCGAATTGTATTAAAGATAATAGAGTGGGATTTGTAGGGCACATACTCCCTGATGACAATTAATTCCTCTTTTCTATATATAATGTATATAAAGGCAAGTAAAAGAAGTTCAATCTATCTATAAGTGTGGAAGTGAGCGAAGTATGCCTTGCAGGTGACTGTTTACACATGTCCTCTGAAACATGTTGTGGTCTGATACGGAAGGATGCAGGTGAAAATGGCAGGAGGGGTTGCATCCCGAGCGCGGTGAAGAAACTGAAAAGACGAGGAGGTGCAGTGATATCTGCAAGGTAGATCTTCAAGCCCCCAATGTGATCCGAATACTATAATTAAATACTCGGTCAATTTGCCTTTTTGGGGCATTATATAGAAGAAATATTAAAACCCCGACTCTAATACTGTAAATAACTATAAAAGCGAACGAGACAATATCCATGATACCTCTGAATGTGTGGATTTAATTATGAATCGAATGATTAATAAATCAGATCGAACCGAACCGTCGGATTGAAAATGGATGATCTACAAGATTGGCCAACCCGGCCTCTACAAATCATAGCAAAATCTTCGTCACATTTATGGACTTTGCTACCAATGACTCTTCTCTTGTTATACATTAGTATGGATAAAGCATCAACTAAGATTTTCGAGACCTCGTGCTAATAGTTGAAGGTAGTCTTCGGTATCGTAGCGTTGATTTTGAATGGCAGGACGGCCCCGTGCACTGGGAGTGTCATAGTCGAAGAAGTATCCAAACTTGTATGCGTAATTGCCCTTGAGGAGGCACAAACTCTAATCTAGAACCCAAGGCACCCACGACCTATCCCGTTATATTTGCATTGGTCATTAAGAATGCCCTTCAGTCTATAGGCAGGTTATCTTCCGAGCGAGGTGTCAAAATAGGAGTAAGTGCTTTATTCCAACTTTTCGTAAGTGAAGTCATAGCTAACTCGTTGTATAGACTCTTCACCATTTTATGACCACAAGAAGTCTCGGTGATGCTCTAAGCGCTACCACACGTATATTCCATCAATCCGCATTGATCAACTTATCAATCGTCCTATGGGCCTTGTCGCCAATTGGGAGCCAGGCGTCTTTCCGGATGCTGTATACAACTCAACGAATTGAAAGTTCAAAAGATACAGTCAGATACCTAGATACTGGTCCTTTGCGGCATTCTCTTCTGCACTGGTCCTTAGACGAGGAGTCATCTTACATTCGACGTGCGACAGCCAACAATTTTGAACAAGATTTTTACACAGTTATGGCCCAATCCTGGGACACACTTGAGAGTCGAACTGATGGTTGGCACAATGCTAAGATTCCTCGAATAGAAAGCCTTAATATCCCAGAAGGCCCCGGCGCTTGGCTGGATACCACGGGCTTGAAGGGTGCGGATTCATATTCCTCTCCACTCGGTACTGCGATCCATGAGCTTCCTACTGCAGGGTCCAAAGACCTTTCGATTGAAACTTCATATATCGGTACTTCCTGCGATCCTCTAAGACAAACCGTACTTAATCCTGATGAGCCAGATAATGCACGCCTTAACTTTCAGTTATCCTGCCTCAATTGCCCCACCTGGAACGCCTCCGAGTTTGATAAAAATTGTATGACAGGTTTCCCGCATCCTTGGTGTAGTAGACTTGGCTCGTTTCTTGGGCTAGACGCACCGAATTCGACGCCTACTGTCGGACAGACTGCTTTCAACTCCACCCTACTCGCTATTGACATCTGGGTATATGATGCCGCAAATTCAAAAACCAATGCAGTAGACGAAGCTGAACCAATTCAAGTTTATGCCACCTGGTCCACTATCTGCAACGTATATCAGAAACATGTTGAAGTCCAAATTAGATGCGAAGCCGAAGAATGCTACACGAAGTCGGTTCGCAATTCTCAGCTCGACAAGCGACCAGAAAGTGTTACACCTATGGACTTCTGGGCTTCCAAATTTCTCCCCAATGGATCAACTACTCGACTTCTTGCAGATACCATTCCAAGATATTTAAGCGGTCCGGTTCCGCGATCTTCAAGTCCAGCCAACGCAAGTCAGCTTTTCGCACAAGTCACGGCGGAACAGTTCTCAGCCCGACTAGGAGCCGTTCTGAACGTTTACTTGCAACTTTACCTCGCGGGCACTGTCATTCGACCTAGGAACACCTCTAGGGAGTTTCCCACTGAACGTGTGATGTCACTTCAAGATATTTGGGGCCCTGAATACGATCCCATAAATGGGCTGAAACTGGTATCAAAATCATCAGAGCTCAAAGTTGCCTGGACAGACCTTCATCGATACTTTCAAGGATACAGCGGATCGCGGCGAGAATTCAGCGGTGGTTATGGCTACGCTACAACCATCGCCAATACAAGCATCAGCACAGAGATCTATAAGGCGGATCCTGTATGGGTCACTCTTACTATTTTCTGTTCGCTGACTGCTATCACCCTTGGTGCTATTGGGCTGATATGCGAATTGCGGTCAATGATTCCAAACCGCTTCGATTCCGTTCTCGGGCTGACATATAATAACCGAGACTTAGGCTTGCTAGTGGATGGATCTGTTTTGGGGACCGATGAGCGACTGCGTCTGTTAAACCAACTCGAAGTCAGGGTAGGAGACGTCATGGGACATGCAGATATTGGACGCATTGCATTTGCCATGAAGGACGAGGTTTTACCAGTTCGAAAAGAAAGGCTTTATGAGTGAGTCGGGTAGCATTGAGCTGCACATTCTAAAACGTAAAGAATAAGGTAATTAATTATATTCGCCTGCTACGCCATAGACCAGGAGACTGACTGACTGACCTCAATAATACCTTACAGGAGACGGCCCTTACTTACACCTCTCAACAACCAAATACTAACCCACACAGCCAGTGTAACCAGCTTAAGATAATTACGGTAAAAATATGATAAAATTAAATTGACATGAGAGGGATTTGAACCCACGCTGTGTTACACAGGCAAGAATAATGTTACCAAAAACTTAATCTGACGAGAAGGGGACTCGAACCCCTGAGGATTGCTCCAGTGGCATCCACCGCTATTGAATAGCGTAAGTTTTTAACTTGAGACCACCGCCATAACCACTCGGCCATCTCGCCGCCGACTTATTGTTTTTCCGGTGTACAACGCACTCTGAATAACTCGCGGATAAACTCAACTGTCACCATACTTGCCAACCAGCATATTAGGTATCTAGAACCCTCTAAGAAGGTAGGACGATTAGTCCGAAGAGTGCGAAAGGTTATTAAAGTATATATATCATTAAAAGTCGTTAATGAGACACTATAAATGTATTGCAAGAAGCACATCTCTCGTATACTGGTTTTATATCTTTACATGATTGAGTCGGGGAAGCAGAACAACCTGCTTCCCAACGTCTAAGCATAATATCGTCTTCGGAGCCGAAATAACTTAATATGTTTGTTTGCTAATACCGCCTCGTGTTCAAAACCTCGATCTCGTTCCATCATTACCATCCTGCCATCCGTGCACACAATGCCCCCCCGGTATAAAACGCTCTGCCTTCCATAACCCATCACTCCTAAGAAACATAACAGAGCGACCTGGCTCAATCCTATTAAACCCTTTATCCTACACAGTACAAGAATAGCGTATGATAGCCGAGCGACCAGCTGAACGACCAATCGTCTCCCTTATTAGTATCGTAAGTCCCAGTCCCATGCACGTCTGGACTCTTCATCATCTCTGCTTGCATGATCTGCGCGATCGTCGCGGGACTACACGCCGATCTGCGACATGCTTGCGAGGCTCGGGCCACGGACGGATCCGCCGCCCCGCCGGAATTCCCTGAATGCAAGCGTCAAGGCGACGGCGAACGTGGCGAACAGGAACCACATGAAGACGAGGCCGGCTTGAATCTCACGGCAGCGCTTCTCCGTGTTGGCGGAACCGAAAGCGATCCAGTCGGACGGTCTCGTGCCCTGAGAATACACAAACACTTATCAATAACTTGATCAATCACGAGTATTGGAGGTCGCTGTTATACTTACAATATTGGCGCAGTTGACGGTAGTCAGCTTTGCCGAGAGGACAATTGAGCCGATGAAAGTGAAGAGGGTGGCGAACCCATCTAAAGCGATGGCGACTATGGGTATGGCGACGGCGTCGATGAAGTGTGCGAGTAGACTGTAGAGCACGGCGATCCATGATAGGACGCACACGAAGATGGCGAAGTTGATGGCGGCGGTAGCGGATGAAGCGGCGTGTTGCGTGCTTGCGCGGACATTGCCGAGGAGGGCGGTTGCGATGAGGACGAGGAACAGCTGCGCTATGCGCAGAATTGAGTTGATTAAGGACCTCATGGTGAAGATCCTGGCGAATAAAGGTATTCGCTAGTTTGGTTGTTAAGGTGTTGGTATCGCCGGGTTGCGTTTATGATAGTTGTTCGAATAAATCTCGATCGTAGCAATAGGGAAGAAGAAATGACTGGAATCGGTAGGTTGCAAATAGCGGCACAAGTCAAGGCCAAAAGGGTATCACAATAAGGTGTTGTTGAGCTGTTGTTAAGCAAGTTCTTTGTGTTGATTAGTTTCGGTATTATGAGCGAAGGAAGGCGGTTCAGGGACCAGGGTCGCAGGAGGAGCTGCAGACGCCTCAACCCCAATTCATGCGACGACGCGCATACGACTAAAGTTAGGTAATTAGGCACGGTATTTTGGTCGATACTTATGGCAGCAATGCGATGCAATGTAGATGAAGGATAGCACGTCTTTGGTTTATGAATTTGGGAATACGTTGTGTAGTTGGTCTGATTTGGATCAGGTTCTCGTCTCCCGAGACAAGACAGAAGCCATTCTTCAGCAAGTGAGTCGAACTCTATTTGGGACTCGACGGGTGAGGTCATAGGCCGTTTTTGGTATGGCATGGCGCTTCTAGGAGGAGGGGTTGCTAGGGACACAGACCTGGACGCTACTGACAAACCAATCATCAAGAGGATCGTTGCTATGACACACATTAGCGGTTAGCGGTACTACCCGACCCGAAGGCCTGCTATTTTTGGCGGTTGCGCCTTACTCCCTGCTGTAGATGAGATCCAATAACCTAACGGCGTCCGAATTGTTGTGAAACTGCACGACCTATTATCTCGACTTCTCTAATACATAGTTAACTGCGATCATTACTGTGGATGATTTTCATACCCAACGCCTGAGTTACTCATATCGGGCTGTCCAATTCTCTTGTGTGCTATCGAGCCTCCTTCTTTATCTCCTAGTCCTGTAGTCTTTCTATGGCTTTTATAGCTTCTCTATCCCACTTGCTCAAACCCACGATCACCCATTCGAGAGCCCCAACAATGTATAGGGCCACGCAATTGCCAAACCACAGGCCCGCGAGGCCCCAGCCGTGAAAGGCGAGATATATGCCCATCGGTAATGCACCGCCGTAGTAGCTGATTAGGTTGACGAGAGCCCCAACCCATTGCTTGCCCATACCTCTCAACACGCCACCGCAACTACCATTCAAGCCGTCTGCGATCTGGAACAGTGCCACAAACGGCATCACTTCTCCTACTAACCTAATGACGCGCACATCATCGTTGAATAGCTTACCAAACACATCTTTTGTGCCCATGAGAATGGCCAGGATCATGCTCCCCGCCAGCACTGAGAGCACCGCAGCACAATGGGCCGCACGAGCTGCCTCTCGTGGCCTCTGTGCGCCCAAGAGGTTGCCGATTCGTGATGAAGTGGCGACCCCTAAACCGAATGGAATCGTGTTGATGATCTGGTCTGCAGTCATGATGACCGATTGCGCCGCGAGAGGGATTGTGCCTAGCCGTCCGGCTGCCAGGGCTACAATCTCAAAAGCCCACCATTCGGTTCCGACATGGACAACCCCCAACAATGCTAAACGAGTGAATGGCCACAAGTGAGATATGGCGCGTCTTGAATCAATCCCCCCCCAACACTCATGGCCACGGACAAACACCGCGTATGCAACGAGGAGAAGGAAAGAAACCCAATAACTGATGCCTGTGGCGATTGGTGCTCCGTAGAGTCCAACTCCAAACTTGTGGACAAACAGCCAGTTCAGAAGTATGTTGAGTGGGGAAGTGATGAGGAGAACATAGGTTCCCGGTCGATATATCTCCTGTGCCTGGAGATACTTCTTCATCGCCTCGAACCAGACGTATCCTAGTCCTCCTGGGATGAGAATCTGGAGGAACCTAGAGCTCTGCACACAAATGAATTCTTCCTGGCCAAGTGCTCGAAACAACGGTTCCGAGGCGCTCCATATCACCGCGATAATGGCATACAGAATAGTAAGTACGAAAATACCCCGTTGCAGAAGAATCCCTAAGTCATGTCGATCTTGTGATCCGGTGAAGCTGCTTGATGCAAGCGTGTCGAGTGCTGTGGTGCCGCCTAATGCGACTAACCAGGCCGTTGCCATTGCGAACATGTACGAAAAGGCGGCCGTGGCTAGGGCTTCGGGCGAAAGCCGCCCAACGATCAGGACCGATGCGGTCTGGAGGCTGTTCTGGAGGGTATATGCCAGGATCACAGGTGTCGCCGCTTTGGTCAGGATCCAGATTTCTCCGAGCCATTCTCGATATCTGGAGACGAACCCATCCCCGGATTCGTCCGTTGGCTTCGGCAGCAACGGGGCGTACTCGGTATTCGGGGTATTCGGAGTCGCGGGGCGGGTCATCGACCTCGGCGTCGAGGGAGTCGACGTTCCTGCCATGTCGTATAACGGCTCTATAAAGGTCAAAAGGCCATTTGGACTGTTTTCGGGTGTCTAGCTTTATAGGCACAGGATGAAGACTACCTTCACATGCATTTGCAAGAGCCGCCGGATTGATCAAGCCATTATATCGGGGCAAACTAAGACAAGTGCGGACAAAGGGAGATATAGATATATTACCTTGCGGTAACAGTCATATTTGTCTCTAATAACCCTTGTCTACTTATCTATTTCTCAAACTAAGCAGCTTATCTGGGATCAATCCCGCCATCTAGGATAAGGAGGCGCAATCTTGCGGTGTACGAAACTACCGACCAACGAGAACGAAGATCGGGGCAACAGAAAGATCTAAGGAGGAGCGACTCAAGGCTGCTTGAGACCCGGAAGCCCGTGGAGCCCATCGGCCGTGCATGGTGCCAAGCCACTCCGATACCTGACGTGGAGTTGTGGGTTCCTCACTTGGGGTAATCCATGCCGTCAGCTTGCGGGCCTAGCGCCGTGTTATAGGTTGACGACGGCGCGGGCGCGCTATCTAAGACCAATGGAAATATGTAATTGTATTGTCTCGGTTTGCTTTTCGATGCCCTTTATCTGGTGATAAAAGATAGGTGAGACTGGGGGCTTGACGCCTAGTTGCCTTAGTTGAGAAGTTGGTCTCGGCTTGCGTCACGTCCGGTGCTACTCCGTGGCTTTTTTTTTCGAGATTGCCTCAGTACTGTCCAGGATATACTGGGTGGGTGAAAGCTTCGGGCTTTCTTTAGTTAACACGTGTTCGCTTTTATCTATATATGTCTTGCTATAGGTAATTGCAATATTATATATGGGTTTGTATTCATCTATTTGCCAGCTCTTCATTGGTGTGTCATATGGGTGCTTTCGTCGTCATGTCTTGAATACCGTCAAGCTGCTCTTCCTGCGTGCTACAAATACTGCAAGCCACTACAGAGTATTGATAGCCGTAACAAGCGCTTGAATACAGGAGTGCTCGAATTTCGCAGAAAAAATTTGCCTCCGTGTTCGGCCAGGTAGAAGATTTACAAGTCCCCGAAGGCCTCGCTCTCTCCCTCGTCGGCCTCACTTTCGTACACCGGTCCCGGTGAAGCAATAAGCTGAAAGCTGAAGCCTCGCACAGAGTCTCACGCTCGCGTGACCATATAACATGATATGCAGGTCTCAGTCTTGGAGCCTCAGATGCAGGTCCCGGCCACGCGAACATGCGTGACTCCTTGCCTCTTATTCCAGGTGAAAAACGCCGACGATCAATTACAGTTATTATCATCACCTTCGGTACCTTCTACTTGCTTACCACACTAAATAATCTTCAATTATCGCTTCTGGGCATCTGGCTCCCTGATGTTAGCAGTAGTGGCGTTCTTTTCCAAGTAATACA